TGACCAGGTCAGTACTGCGGTCATCCAGGTGGTGAGCTCCTGGATGGACCCTATTGTTCGATACTTGGCGCAGGGGGAACTCCCCCCGAGCAGGACAGAGGCCCGCAAAATCCTCCTTAAGTCGCAGAGGTACACGCTTGTGCAGGGAGTCCTGTATAGGAAGTCCTACTTGCAGCCCTGGCTGAGGTGTATGACACCTGAGGAGGGGAGCTATGTCTTGCGCGAGTTGCATGAGGGCATCTGTGGCAATCACGTTGGCTCCAGGGTATTGGCCAAGAAGGGAATGCTGGCCGGGTACTATTGGCCCACCATCTTCAGGGACTCGATCGAGCTGGTAGCTCGATGTAAGTCTTGTCAGCTACATGCTCCAGTTCATCATGCCCCAACTCGGGAAATGATCCCTCTTCATAGCCCGTGGCCGTTCTTCCAGTGGGGAATCGACTTGTTAGGACCTTTTCCCCGAGCTCCCGGTGGCCATGAGTACTTGGTGGTGGCGATTGATTACTTCACCAAGTGGATAGAGGCTGAGCCACTTAGCACGATCAGTTGTAGGTCGATACATAAGTTCCTCTGGAGGAACGTAGTCTGCCGATTTGGCATTCCCAGGGTTCTCGTTTCGGATAATGGCCGGCAGTTCGCAGATCATTCGCTTCAGGAGTGGTGCACTGAGCTCGGTATCCAGCAGCACTTCACCTCAGTAGGGCACCCCCAGGCCAATGGGCAGGTCGAGAATGTGAACCGGACCATCCTGCACGGCTTAAAGACAAGGATCGAATCAGCCCGGACGGGTTGGCTGGACGAGCTGCCCACCATACTATGGGCTTACCGGACTACGTCTCGGACGGCCACACAGGAAACTCCGTTTGTCCTAACATATGGGGTGGAAGCAGTAATCCCTGCGGAAATTGGGATGCCTTCGGCCAGGGTACAGCACTTCGTGGCCCAAAGCAATGAGGAAGAGATGCGACTCGATCTAGACTTGCTCGAGCATCGAAGAGAAGAAGCGGCTATAAGGATGGCAAAGTATAAGGGCCAGGTTGCATGCTACTACAATGCCAGGGTAAGGCATCTTTCTTTTAAACCAGGGGACCTGGTAGTACGCAGAAATTCAGTCAGCCGAGCTGTAGGCACAGGCAAGTTAGACCCGAACTGGGAAGGCCCGTACGAAGTAAAGGAAGTTGGCCAAGCAGGCTATTGCAAACTAGCTCGTCTGGATGGAAGCGAAGTACCACGCACGTGGCACAACTCGAATTTAAGGCTTTTTCTTTAAGAATCCTGCCCGAGCTGAAAATGGTCGGCTGGACAGGTCTGCTTTTATTTTAGTAGTTCGGCATTGGGAATTATGAATGTATTCAAAGCTTTGAAATGAAATAGAAATTTTTATAAGTGTTGGGAAAGGAAAAGGCCGCATATATTCAAAATCAAAAAGCATGTACAGGTAGGGGGCCATACAAAACCGAGCTGGCCAGCTCGGACCCTACTCTAGCCTAACATCCTACAAGGCTAGTCTAAGTCCTATCAGCTTAGCTCTCCCCTTGTTGCTCTTGCTCTGGCTCTGGGGAGAGGGCAGGAAGATTAGGATCGGCAATCAGGGCAGCCAGGTCGCGCCCATTGGAGTAACCTGTGACGAGCCTGTCAATTTGGTTGGTAGATTGGGGGTTGAAGTCAGGCCATTTGCTCAGGTCAAAGCCTGGCAACTTCAGGGACTCCACATCCATCAAGGCCTTCGTGTAGCCGAGTTGCAGGACAGGGCCGTTGAGGAGGGCCAGGTCGTTCATAAAGACTTCAGACTTCTTGAACTCTTTGACGCCTAGCTGGCGCCCTTCTTCCCTTGCCGCCTCCACCAGCTCGGCAGATTTTTTCTGCTCTGCCTCCAGGGTCGCAGCCAGTTCGGCCGTTCTCTTCTTTTCCAGTTCGCAGGAGGAGTTGGCATCTGCAAGTTGCTTCTTCAGGGTCTCCAGCTCGGACTCTGCAGCTTCGAGCTGACTCGACAACTTCTCTTTGGCAGCATCAACCTGGGACAGGTTGACCCCCATGTTCTCATACCGCTGAGCCAGCTCGGCCCCCGCAACGTTGAGCTGCATATTAGGTACAGGATAAGTAGTCGGCAAAGCTCGAAAGGATGTCAGGGAAAGTGCTGGTTAAGAAGTTACCTGGGTGGTGCTGAGGTAAAAGTGCTCTAACAGCTCAGCGTTGGAGGCAAGTTGGATGAAGTGGTGATCGCGGGGGAGTACCGCGCCTTTGACGAGCTCTTTCGCCATTTCGGGGAATTGAGCTCGGTCGTTCACCGACAACCCCCACTTCGGGCAGAAATGGTGGGGGTGCGGGTGTGAGCCCAGCTCGGTAGGGGGCTTCAGGGGAATCACATTCCTCATGCGCCACATAGCGGGGGGAGATTGTGACGAAGCCTGCTGCTCGGCGGAGCTCACCCCATAATGAGAAGCGATAGCCGTAGAGGGCTCCTCCTGGGACTGGGGGGAAGCCGCCTCTGTCCTGGCCTTTTTGGCCGTGGACTTCTTTCTTTTCTTCTTTGATCCCTCCCCCAGTGAAGACTGAGCGGCAATTTGGGGAGTGGACACAGGTGGAGGTAGAGGCACAGTGCTGCTCGGCGCTGTGGAAGGCGCAGGAGTTGGCGTGCTCGCACTGCCAATTCCGCCGATGTTCAGCAGCTGGGAAAACCTCTTCACTGCAGGACAAAAACACTTGGTCAGTCAGGATGATGGGGACTCATGGATAGGAGCAGGTCGAGAAAATTACGAGCTGTTAGCTCCTCGGGGGTGATAGGTCGGAGATCGGGGGCAGGGTCGTTCACCTCTGCTCGGATTAGCCCCGCCGACCAGAGCTGGGCATTGTTAAATTCCTTTACCTTCAGTTGAGCTTCCGAACTGACCAACCGGTCTAGCTCGGCCTCGGGCAGAGGAGAAGGGATTGGATCGATTACTTGGGTATCCTCTCTCCAGGTTAGGGGAGGAAACCCAGTATTCTTCACAAAAAAGAAGTAGGCTTTCCAGCCCTTGATGGAAGAAGGCATATGAGTGAACAGTTCGCGGGTAGGAAGTTCCCCTCCGCTCCTGCGAGCAAAGTAGAACCAACCGTGAACTGGGCCACTTACCTTCATCTGAAAGAAAGACCTGAATAGGTCCAGAGAATAGGGGATTTCAAGAGCTCGGCACAAAATAAAGAAGCCGAGGATGGACCGAATGGCGTTGGGAACGACCTGGGTAATTCGAATGCCCCAGAAGGTTAGGATGTCGTAAAGAAATTGGGGAATGGGGAGGCGAAGACCAGCCACGAGCTGATCTCTGTAGATAGCCACAAACCCAGGGGGAGGTCGGCAAGCGTACTCCCCTGGCTGGGCGGCCCGAGCCTCGAACTGGGGGAGAATGTCGTACCTCCCCACCAGTTCATCCACATCCCCTTGGTCGAGGAGGGGGGGGATAATCTCGACTTCCCCAAAGTCGATGTCTGGTCCCCTAACGGGACCTGCTCTGGCGCGAGCTGGAGCCACCCCCAGAGGAATCTCTGGGTCAGCAGCGCCAGCTTCGGGCTGAGCGGATGGACCAGGTCGGTTCATGGCTATAGCAAGGCTTGGGATTGGGGGAGGAAGATATTCAGACCCAGACGAGCTGGAAGGAGAAGGACTGGAGTCGGGTATTTCTATGAATACAGGTCGGGTAATCCTACGCCTAGGTGCTGAGCTGGTAAGGTCTGAGTGTGTGGAGGAAGACGACATAAAAGGAAAGGAGAACTTACTGATGAATGAGGGGGAAGAACTGAGGTGTGCTTAGAGGGTAATCCTACTCTCGGACGACCTCACTGAATGCGGAGCAAGCTGGAAAAGGTTGGAAGAGAAGAGAAAATGAGAAGGAAGGCTTGAGAGTGACGTTTGGTGGGGCCTATTTATAGGCTCCCTGGGCGGGAAGCCGAAGAGTCCCGAGGAAGAAGTTCGAATTTATGGCTAGGGGGCAGTTACCTTGGAAGACGCGTGAGCTGACAAACCGCCATCATGAAGGACGTGACCCTTGAAGTGACGGTTACGACGGCGGACGTGGCAGTTTTTCGGAGGAGATACGTGATCGTGGGATTGTGGGTCCCGCACGAAGCCGACGTGACGCTTCGAAGTTTGGTCCAGACCCACATGGCTCATCAGTGACTCTAGACTCAAGGGGGCTAGTGTAGTGGGGTGAACCTGCGCGTGCCACGTGTCAGCTCGGCAGGTCTTGCTCGTCAGGTCGGCTGTGAGACCTCGCAACTCGCAGGCGCTAACTCGGCATATGGAGGCCAGCTCGGCCTTACTTATCGATCCTTGAGATGGGCCTATGGGCCGCCGTCTCCGAACTTGTAGGAGCCGCCGCACGAAACCCTAAGAAGACTCCGAACCCTAAGGGGACTTTGACTCCTATATGGAAACTACCACCCGTTAAGCCTATATATACAGCACCACAAGACGACACAAGGTATGCCATCCACAGTTCTCTCTACTGTTGCTCTACTCTTGAGCTCTACTGACTTGGCCGTCGGAGTTATTCCGGGGACTCTAGTCCCTCCGTTTATTTCCCTCTCTGCAGGACAGGTCGTCCGTTCTCTCCCCGTCAATTCGGCCTATCAGCTCGGCCACTCTCTGTTAGCTCCACCGTCTGTCCATTTGCAGGTCGGCTCGTTCACCTGACCAGCTCGCCAGCTCGCTCAGCCCGTCGCAGCTCAGCTCAGATCTTATTTTTGGCAGTCGCATCAAGCCCAAAACCTTGAATCGAATTCAACCAGCCAAAAGATTGATTCGATTTGATCCGTTTACCTTTTTTCTTTTTGGACCCGTTTACAGCTCATCGAATTTTCGTTTTCAGACTGTTTTGTGGATTTCAAGCCGAGGAACACTTACATGGTCAACACGTGTCCATCACGTTGGATTAATACAGATGGCGAGCCCACGTGTCAATCATTTGAAACATTTTGCCACGCATCCAACTCAATTATATAGTCTCTCGCCTGCTACTAACACTACAACACTTAATTGATCTGAATTGATCCTGCTATCACTTTACACACAAAAAAAAGAAGAAGAAGATATTCCTCCTAATTAATTAGGCCCAAAAGGGCCAGGCGACAAAGGAATAGGATATAAAATCAGACTAGAGGTCATATCAAATCATATTACTTGTTTGTTTCAAGCTTCAACAATGGCTAGGCCAGTTGAACCGCTGGTGGTGGGGAGGGTGATCGGAGATGTGCTCGACATGTTTGTACCAGCTGCTGAATTGATAGTACAATATGGGTCAAAACAGGTCGGAAATGGTTGTGAGATAAAGCCATCCCATTCTGCTCACAAGCCTGCGGTTCGCGTAAATGGCTCTCGTGGCCGTGCCGCCAGTCTCTTTACCCTTGTAAGTGTGCCATCTCATACATGCTCATTAGTATATACTCACATACAAGTACATAAATTGAAAGAAAGAAAAAGAAAAAGGAAAAAAAACCCTGCAAACTTTTGCATGAGTTCAATGATCAAGTACAATTTACGAAAAGTTTATGAGGATTCAAATGTTCTCTCTCTCTCTCTCTCTCACTTTTTTTATCTTTTAGGTTGAAATTTTCAGTAGCATGCATTTAGTCATTGAAGGGTCGGTTCTTGTTCTGTTGCAGGTTATGGTCGATCCTGATGCGCCAAGTCCAAGTGATCCGACTTTCAGAGAGTGGCTTCATTGGTACACTTTTTCTTCTTCTTTGTATATCAACTTATACATGTAAAATTGTCTGGCCTCGGATACGGTTACCTGAATTTTAACTTGGAATCGTTTTGGCAATTTTTTTTTTTTTTGTTTTGTTTTGGCGCCGTTGCAGGATTGTGGTGAACATCCCAGAGGGTGGGGATGCCTCCGAAGGTTATTTTTTTTAAAAAAAAAAAAAAATTTCACTTTATGATCAATCATTCCCTAGCTTTAATAATCTTCATTCGAAGTATTTTGTGGTATATTTTTTAGTTTGATCAAGTAATGTTATACTATTGATTTCTCTAATGGAAGGCAAAGAATTGGTAGCATACCAAGGGCCTCAGCCACCAGCGGGTATCCACCGCTACGTGTTTGCGCTTTTTAAGCAGAGAGGAAGAATGGAAAAGCCAAAAACGCTACCAGAACCCCGTCACAACTTCACCACTCGACAATTTGCAAGCCATAATGAACTCGGACTTCCTGTTGCTGCCGTATATTTCAACTCACAGAAGGAACCAGCTGGAAATAGGAAACGTTGATGCCTTGTCTGAAAGCGTGCTAGTTCCTGTTTTATCCTCCAGCATGCATGGTATAGAACTGGGAATGTATAGGTGGTTGTATAATCTGTGTGCTGTTTGTGTTCGTTTTGGTCATTAAGAGCTTCTTAAGGGATGTGCAACCGCAGTCAAGTTTTTATTTTTAGTTTATCTTCTTGTACGTACGTGTCATTGTAGTATCTAAATTGGGTAGTACGTATAATATAATTCGAAGCGCTATTTAAAAATAGCCTTTTACTTTTTTAAGTGGATTGAGAGGTCTTGAATTCAGAATCTTTTTTATGTACGTGTGTAGAAGATTCGCTCCAGGACAATCCGAGATATGAACATGTATTGTAACATTGACGTGCTTATTTATATCACTTTTATAGTTTTACCTAGCTAACTAGTACAGTCCAATTAAATGCTTAGTAGCTAGAAAAAAAATAGCAGAATTAGCTCATCAAAACTTGTCATTATGGTCCCTGAAATGTTAGAAAATTACACTGAAAATATGCATGCTCGGTTGACTCATTACCTTGAGATAATCACAATTATAAGTTCGGGTACTGAAATTATCAAAAGCTCCAAAATATCATCCTTCACGTTTTGACGGGTAGCTATCCCACAGTGCAGCTGGGATCTCACATGTTGATTTGAACACAAAGCATATCTAATCCTAATTCCTAAACCCCACCCCACCCGGGGGCCCGGTGTTTTTTCCCTTGATGCTTAGCAAATCAAGGGATGCGAGTTTCGAGTCTTTTGACACATGATTAATGTTTTGAGAATTCTTGACTCATTTGCAGTCGCAGCAGGTGAAAGACTCTCAATTCTTCCAGGAATAAGGCTTACTTGTCAGTGGAAGAATTGAGAAATAAGGCTTGATTGTACGTTAGGAGGGAGGGATTATAAGTAAGAAATTCAAGCGGATTGAATTGGATCCTAAGTTAGGAGGAATTAGTAGCAAGACGTTCTGAGTTTAAAATCTTTTATTTATTAAAAACAAAAAGGGATTTATTTGTCAGTGGCAATAGCTACTATTTCTTCATTAATTCCTATTATTTCCTTTTTTTCCTTTAACCTATTGACAAGGTCATATTTTCAAACTAATATGATTTAAAAACTTTTAGCATCTATAAGAAAAGTGCTAAGAATATAACTAGACCGTAGTCTTGTCAAAAGATTACGAGAAAAAGAAAAGGAGGAAGTGTTGAAAGATTTGCAGATACTAATCTTTAGTGGTTTAACTGTATTGGGAGTGCTTGATTTGACTTGAATTCCCGTTTTCTAGTCCAAAAACTTTTAATGTTACAGATAATGTTTCACTTTTCTATGATTCAACTCGAACAGTCCATAACTCCATATAATTAATGTTAGGGGGGGAAATAAAAATAAAAAAAAACTCCAATATTGAACTATCAATTTACATGGTACTCCCACTTTTTGTAGTTTCCGAAATGGCCACATGACCGTCATTTTCTCTAACCAAAAGAAGGAAAAATAAAAATGGATTTCATAGTTTGGATTGTGATTTTTTTTTTTTTTAAAAAAAATTTACATTTTTCGTGAATGCACTTTTCAATATCCATTTTACCCCATATGCATTAAATTGTTACAATACATTTTCCTACAAAAAGTTATAAAAATAGTCATCTAAACAGGAAACTTTTTTTCAAAAAATAAAAATATATTGCAACCGTAAAATATAATCCATGAAAAGCATAAATAGATAGTGATATTAAACTCTAAAATTCAAGTTAACTCGGCTACGACCAAGCACATCTTGAATATCAAAATGCTCTTCGAGATTAATTATACTTATATAAATAAATAAATAAATATAGTGCATCATTCACATCAACTCAAGTACGAATTCAAAAATTTGTAACTGCACTCATCTAGCCCAATGAAGGACAAGAAGTTACAATGGGAGCCAAGCCCAAATAATAAAGTGATTAATATAGTGATTGCACCCCTATTATGTAGACAGAAAAAAAATCCTTTTTCATTTTGTTTTATCGAGACAAGTATTTGTTAGGATAGCTCATCATTTGACCAAAAAAAAAAGAGATTTATCACAATACATTTTTTATCATTTTTAAAATTTTTAAATTTTATATATATCACATCACGAAAATATTAAAATATTATTTAAAAATAATTTTCAAATAATCTCTTACCGAAGCACATACTTGGTCAACCGACCTAATCGAAGTCCAAACTCCTGTCCCAGATCCAATCAACTGAAGTCCTAGCAAGGGATGCAACGCCCGACTCCAAAATTGCCCCCGTTCTACAATACGAGTTTATTGCCAAAATAACTCTTATTCCAAAACATATACCCAAAGTAATCTATTTTTATAATATATTACCTTTATAATCCTTTTTTTTGCCACTTAGGCAGTATATGTGTCAGGATGGAGATAAAAGCACATTCCATTTCTCTTTTTCATCTAATATCTTCTCCAATTTTCTTTCTAAATCTTCCCGCATTTTTTTGTTTCATTATCTTTCCCTTGTCAAACCTATATTTGAGATATTTTTACGGTAGCACTTTTTTTGATATGATGTATGTGAGATAAAAATGTGATTGAAAAATGTGTTGATGATATAAGCAAGTTAGTGTGTGTAAATAAAGTGAAATAATCTTCAATCCAAACACACTCGTAATTCTAAGAAATCAATATTTATATTAACAGCATCTAAAAAATATGCTTCTTGAGTTGATAATCTCAAGGCAAATGAAAATTATTCTCGTGTCTTTTTAAGGAGTAGGAATGATAACATAAATAAATATGATAGTCTTGAAGTTTTTTAATTGCTTACAATTTTTGTTGAAATTTTTGTTGCAACTTTTGTATTTTTAAAATTTATTTTTTAAAAAATATATATGCAATAGGTTTGATACATTTTTAAAAAATTAGAGTCCAATAATAGCAAGGTCAATAATGGTAGAATTTATTTTAAATATTTATAAAGAAATTATAAAAGTTATGCAATCTTCTTGTGCCTCTGTAATAAAAAAATTTAAAATTTTAATTCATGTTGGATACTTTAAATTAGATTTGAACTTTCTTTTCTTGTTATCGTGCATGGTAATCAGGATAACTAGATGGCAACTATAACATCATTATGGGAATAAATTTTGAAAGTAAATCACATTGAGAATATTTTTTAACAAGAGTGTTATTTTGGCAATAAACTCTTTACAATACTCCTCTCCACCGCCCCGGCCCCCACGCTCGCTGTCCTGCCCCGCCCTTACCGGGCTCCAATATTCTTGTGGGTGTACCTTTGCCTTCTCACTATCATTATTATTATTTTTTACTTAATTTAATTTTTTCAATTTATATAGATCTATTAATAGTTTTATTAATCACTATTTTGAAATTTTAGCAAAAAAAATTACATCATTTTATCATAATAACATAACATGTTATTTATTTCATACAATATATTTATATAATAATAATATTATAGCATTAAAGTATAGGCAGTAGCGGGATGGAGGATAAGGTGGGGGTATGCAGCCTTGCCTCCTACCCTATTTAATACAGGGGGAGAAAAATCTAACTCCTACCTCATTCCTAGGTCCCTGAGGGTAGGGTGTATACGAGTCGAGTTTGAATAATGTTATATTCAAGTTCGACTCGAACACTATTAGCATCATATTTGACTCGAGCTCACCTTACTTGACTCGAGTTCGAGGTTGATCGAATTCAAAAATTGGAAATTGAACTCGACTCAATGAAATGATAAAAAAAACCCGAACTCAACTCAATATGACTCGAGTAAAAAACGAGTCATATCGAGCTCGAGTACTTGATGCTGCTTTTAAGTATAAAAGTTCGATTAGATCCCATTTTTGAGCATTTAAGCTCAAGACATGGAAAATGGAATTAGATTATATTTATTTCAAATTCTATTACCTTTTTGCCATCAAAAAATTTTATTAAGTATACAAATCATCTTGTAAATTATTTGCAAGCATAAATCTTTAGTGGTAATTTCATATTTAAAAAGATATATATTATTTAAATTAAAAAATACACCACTTACATGCCCGCTCAAGCTATTCAAGCTGAGGCTCGAAAATCGAGTTTGAACCGAGCGTTGACCAAGCTGTCGGCTCGCAATCAGCCGTACCTAAGGATACGTGTCCTTGTTTGTCCCCAATTCTAGCTTTAACTGAGCCGCGTCGGCGAAGTCAATTAGACCAGCACCGACCATGGGCTCGAACCCTCGGTCTTTGGTCCAACCCTGACCCAACTAATATTTCATTTTTTATTTTTAATTTCACAAAAAAACAATCGATTCTGTTTCTAGATTTACATTTGGGTTTCTTTCCTTCTAATTTCCAATGGCGTTGTTTCGCCGCCGCCCAGCTTGAATACTATTCTCGGCCTAGGTCTTACGCCCAAAAAGAAGAAAGAACCATAGCTGAGTTGTCCGAGTCAAAAAGAAACTTTCTTTCAAGTATCAACGTAGACAAGAAGATATCAAAACTAAATAAATAAATCCAGACACCTAATAATAGAAGTAATACAGAAGTGGAATATTATTGGGCAATATGTTTTTCCTTAATTCTGGGAGGGTTTAGTTTTTGTTTATGAACCGCATGGTTCAAATATATCGTCCGCCGCCGATAATCCTCCGTAGAAAATGCTCGTCGCCGATCTTAGCCTCCTCTGCCGCCGTAGCTGTAGCCGCTCCCTAGACCTCTCATGTCTTCATTCGTTTACCGTCTCTTCGCCATGTCAAGGTTCGCCCCTCCTCTTTCGCCTCCGCCTTCCAATTGTCTTCCCTTTCCCCCACTTTCTGGTTTCGTATTTGATTATTCGTTGATTATAACTAATCGGATGTGATGGGCAAAATCATTAGTTTCTATTATTTCTGAATTTTGTTGTGGATATTGCTATTGGGCCCCCAAATTACTTCAAATTTATGCTTTGCCCATGTGGAAAGTAAGAGGGGTTCTAGCATTGTATGGTGAGGTGCTCTGGTTGGTTTCTGGCCATTAGAATATGGACCTTCTGATGAGATAGGCCTTCAGGGTTTAAATTATTAGTGTTTGTAGTTCTCTAGCTTAGAATATGGATTTGATTCACTACGTATCATTCTTTTTTTGTTCCTACTCTTTGGGACAAGGTTAGCAAACCATTCAACCCAGTAATTGTTTCTCATGCTTTTTATTATGTTATAGAGCAAAATGAGAGGAATCTGGATATATTACCGCCTTTTTAAGCTCTGTTTGTGGGAATGCAGATTCTTGACGGTTAGAAGTGTTAAGAGAGGTGTGCAATCTGTACGTCAGAATCAGTCGACCATTATATACTCTGATGGGTTGCAATATGGACCACTTTTTAGACCAGGATTATATTCACAGAATTATAGACTATATTCACAGTATGGGCTTCCTGCTAGGAGACCAGTTTCATCTTCATTGTGGGGAGCTAGAAATCAGACCCATAGCGGGTTTGTCAAGAAGTTTTCAGCAGTGTCACCTGGTAGGACACTAGCACAGCGTGCCCAACTTGCTTGGAAAAGTTTTGTCCGGAGACCTTCCTGCAATACAGGAACTCCACAGCCAATCAGTCGGATTGCTCAGGCAGTTAGCTTAGCATTGAGCCGCTCTTATGTGGTTATGCCTGGAATGTTCGCCTTGGCTTTTGGAAGAAATTTAGCATGGGCACAAGCCCCTGTAGACGTGAATTTCTTTCAGCCAAGGAATACAATATACATGCGGGCTCAGGATGGGCATATTTTTGTTGTCAAAGTGGTCCTTGCTGTATTACAAGGGATTGTTTTGTTGCTTCGCGCCCTGTATCTGGCGATTTTGTTTTCACCAAGCATTTCCATGGCTCCGTTTGTGGATTATTTTGGACCTCGGTACAGGAAAGTGTGGCTTCAGCTTGTCCATCAAACGCTGGAAAGGGCAGGTCCTGCTTTCATAAAATGGGGTCAGTGGGCTGCTTCACGGCCAGATCTTTTTCCGAGAGATTTATGTGCTGAGCTTTCCAAGCTTCACACCAAAGCACCCGAACATAGCTTTGCATACACTAAAAAGACTATTGAAAGGGCTTTTGGCCGAAAGCTAACTGAAATCTTTGATGACTTTGAGGAAGTACCTGTAGCATCTGGAAGTATTGCTCAGGTGCACCGAGCTTCTTTGAAGTATCGGTATCGTGGTCGTCACACCAAGCCTATGATGGTAGCTGTGAAGGTGAGACATCCTGGAGTTGGTGAATCAATTAAAAGAGATTTTGAGATAATCAACAAAGTGGCAAAATTATCAAAATTCATTCCGGCACTAAATTGGTTGAGATTGGATGAGAGTGTTCAGCAATTTGCAGTTTTTATGATGTCTCAAGTTGATCTTGCAAGAGAAGCTGCCCATCTCAGCCGCTTCATTTATAATTTTCGCAGATGGAAGGATGTCTCTTTCCCAAAGCCTGTGTATCCACTGGTGCATCCTGCTGTGTTGGTGGAAACCTTTGAGCAAGGGGAATGTGTTTCACACTATGTTGACGAGATTGTGGGGCATGAACGACTTAAAAGTTCACTTGCTCACATTGGAACTCATGCACTACTGAAAATGCTTCTGGTAATTTTTTTTTTTTTAATATTGTCCAATCCATGTATGTTGTTACCTTTTTCTTTGGGTTCCTGTGCCCCCCTTTTGGGGGGAGGGGGGAAAGGGAAGCAAAGCAGGCTTCAATATTTTGTTGACTTTGTTGCAAGTAAAGTTTAACCATGTTGATATAGTGGGCAACGTGGTATTTGATCTATTTGTTTAAATTTGTTACAAATTTTGAATCCTATGTCACTTCCAAAAACACCCTCTTAAGTTGAATTTTAGTAAATAACACCTACCTTCCTAAAACAATGCTGAGATTGTCTGGTCACACATTTGGGGGAAGATACGAACATTTACTTAGTCTTTAACATTAAGTGTTAGTTCTCATGGCTGAGAATTTTTTCCCATGTATTTAACAGGTAGACAACTTCATTCATGCTGACATGCATCCTGGAAACATCCTTGTTAGGGAGGCTCAGACCAAGCCTTCTCGGAAGCGCCTTTTCAAGTCAAAGCCTCATGTTATTTTCGTTGATGTAGGAATGACTGCTGAGCTTTCTAAAAGTGATCGAAGTAATCTATTAGAGTTTTTCAAGGCTGTTGCTCGTCGGGATGGTCAAACAGCAGCAGAGTGCGCACTAAGATTATCAAAAAAACAGAATTGTCCCAGCCCACAGGACTTTATCCAGGTAATTCTCTTATTATGTGCCATAGGAAGTAGGAGGCTGACCTGGCACGTCAATCATCACACTCAACACTGCTATATTATTTCTTTTAGTGTTTTCTACTATATATAGCTTTTGATACCGTTTAAAATTGTGCCAGCATCTAAACTATTATGGAGAACCAAGGAGGGTTATGGACTAAAGGACCCTTCCACATTTTTCCGTCAGCATCTTACATATGATGTTTGATATTAGCGAACCTCCTTAAAGGATAGTTCCTAGTCCTGCTTTTGTGTTTCCATTTGCATTGGAAACAGACATAATCTTGGGGTTCTGGAATTCTTATCCTTTACACCTTTATCTGGTTTGTGTAGGATTATCTTCTGTAACTTTCAATTTCCTACTGGTTCATCAAATAGAAAATCAAGGAAAAGATTCTGTATTTTTGGGTCAAAGAATAGACTTTTATTGCGTAAAGCTTGTGATTAGTGATCCTCCTAATTTTAGCATAGTTATCATTCTAATCATCTGCTTTTTATTAGGAAGTGAAAGAGTCGTTTGATTTTTGGGGTACTCCAGAAGGTGATTTGGTTCATCCGGCTGATTGCATGCAGCATTTACTTGAGCAAGTTCGGCGTCATAGAGTAAACATCGATGGCAATGTGTGCACAGTCATGGTTACAACTTTGGTTCTTGAGGTATAGATTCCCTTCATGTTGGTGTGATTTATGACACATTTTGTGAAAAGATGCTTGATGGAGTGCATGCTTGTTCTTGTTGATTGGCGTCTGACAGTTGTATGCATGTCATGCCCATGCCCTCAGGTGTTGGAAGTACTCATGCTGCTTTTTTACTGAAATGTGACTAGTTGCTTGAGCAAATTTGCTGTCCTTTCCTCCACTCCAAAAACACCCTCTGCCCGAAAAGAAAATGAAAATAATTAATAAATGCTTAGAGACTTTAAAGTTTAAGGTCTTAGAGAATAATTGCTTTCAATAAGACCACTAATGCTCCTATGCTCTTAAGCGTTTGAAATCCCCTTGTAAAGATATATTATTTCTGGAAGAATTATTTCATCAATTTGTACTTTCATGTTTTGAGGCTTCGAAGAAGTTCTGCTGCTCGTTAAACTAAGAGTTAGAATGGATAACTAGAACCGCCCTGGGTATTGGGGAAAAGGATAATGTGCTTTAGGCCTAACCATTTATCCCATGCTCATTGTTGCAAGCACTGTAGTGGGCATTTTGATGATCCAGTTTGGGCCAATAAAAAAAATTATATTATGGTAAAGTTGACTTTCAATAACCCTAGTAACCTGTGAGAGCCTGTATTTTAGTTTTAAACTTTCACCACGGCCCCATAACTAGTCCATTCATATGATTATGGGCTTTTGATGTAATATCGGGTGCTGACATGGCGTTCAGCATTCAGACAACACATTTGAAAAATGTTAGCATTAAATTTGTCTCTCTTTTGAAGCTTTTGTCATATTGCGGCATTCAAATGATAATGCAGAACTTCCCAATAATTATTCACTGGCTGATATTGGTTCTGGTTTTTCTCATGTCCCTTTTTCATTCGTTTATCATTTTTATTATTGTTAAGGTAGGTTATTCTTGCGGTATGTTTCTTGCCACTGTTTTGGTGTTAGTATGAGCCTTGTAGTTTTGACTTTTTATTTTTCTTTTATGCCTTTGATTTTCTGTTTATAGGGTTGGCAGCGAAAGCTAGATCCTGATTATGATGTAATGCATACACTTCAGACGCTGCTACTCAAAGCGGACTGGGCAAAGTCACTCTCTCACACGATTGAAGGACTCATGGCTCCTTAAGGAAATCTCTAACCGCTGCTATGGTTACATAGCAATTCTTTTGATCGCATAGAACTTCAGTAATGTATACCATCTCACAGCGTACTAGTATTCTTCTTGCGTGTATCTACTTAGACCTGTTCCAACTAGACAGACTCAATCCTTTTGGGGTGCTGCGTCACAAATTTTGCAATTGGAAATTTTGTCTTTGTATTCATAAATTTTTGTTTTCAAAGATACTGCCTCGCGAGAGACACAAGATGTGAAGAAATAAATTGAATTCCTTTATTTTTTTCATATCTCTCAGCTTATCTCTTCATCTTTTTACATTCGGCAAAGATGATCTTGAACTTACTCGTGTTCTTATAATTTCCATGCCCTTTTTTTTTTTTTCCTCTAGTTTTTATGCAAGGATTTGCTCTTGAGTACCTGCAGAATGACTTGAAAGTTGAAACTACCTGCTGTACCTCAAATACGATTTACAAGCTTTATAAAATTGCGTCGGAAAATAAGCTAAATTTCATTTTGACTGAGTTTTCATTTATACTTCCAAAATTACATATTTCGAAAAAATAAAGAAAATAATCGTGGATTATGTACAATTCAATATCGGGCATCAACTCGCGGTATATTAATTGAAGATGCGGATCATTTATCTCACTCAAAAGGAGATTTTGGGAAAGAGCGCAGAACAAATTAGTCTTCTCTCAATCAAAACCTCCTTTATCACCGATTAAGCTCTCTCTCGAGTTTTGCTTATATCCCCCCATCTGCACCCATACTAAGAACACAGGCACAATTATCCTGAACCATCAGGGAATCAAATCACAGCCTCCTTTAGAGAAACGGGGCAGCCAAATGTCTCTGTGAAGCTCAAAGCTCTAGCTCTAATTGAATGTCAAATACCTCCCAGTTGATATGCAATCAACCTTTGCCTTATCAAGCTAGCGAAGCACCCCAAAAGGTTACACATAACTGCAAGTAATAAAGAAAAATTATGACGTATATGCCAACTCAAAACAGATGAAAAGAAGTAAGAAATGTAAGGCAAAGACTCAGATACGAAGTGTTTCGTTCAGCAAAGGACTACTACCACTTTACAATCTGAAAGTTTGGTGGCATAAGACCCTTGCTTAACTGTAGGCCATCAATTAACTGATGTGGTGACCTTCAGCGTTACAAGCTTTGTAGCAAGACAAGGCCATTAGTTATCAAAAAGAAAGCTCCTATCTTCGGACAAGAAGCTGCTTAAAGTATAGTTGCTACCCTTTGTACATCATCACTCAGCAAGCTTGCCACCGGTCCTGGACTCAACAGGGTCAGCAAACAACTGGAGAAGAAAAACTGTTCTTATCTAACTCCATTAGCCATTTACATGAATTAATGCCATGTTGTCCATCTAACAACCAGTAACTACAGCAATGAAGATATCTCATAATTATTCTCAGAGTTCTTGCTTTGGACCCAAAAGCCTTACTAGTCAAGAAGAATCACAGCCAGTAACCTCAATGAATGATACGTCACAGTAAGGATGACAGATATTGACTAAATACTAGACTTCGACCAATTTGGTCAGAGAAGATGCACTTGTAATCCACTACATTGAACTACTTTAAGAGGACCATAATCTACAATTAGACCATAATGTAGATCGATCTACTACTAATGGAAGTAAATTAATAATTTTTCTCTTTGTCCAAATACTCATTACATAAATTCAGACAAGAATTTTCCAGTAAACAAGAAGCTAATATTTCCTTTCACACCTCATAACCACAGCCACCAGCCCTTTACATTCAATTCTTTTCTCTTTTTATTTTATTTTATTTTTTGGGGGGTGGGGGGGGGGGGTTGGGAGGAAGAGAAGGGTGAAGAATGTGTATTCACCACTCACCCAACTGAATTTAAGAACTTGAGATGGACCCCTACAATTGTCTTAATCGGACACTGAGTTGCTATCCAGTCGTTTTTTTTTTTTTTTTTGCATGTCAAATGAATGCTCAATAGCTAAGAGATAGAGGTAAAACAATAAAAGCATGACAAACTACTTGTCACGTTTTGATATTTCCAAGAAAACTTACTCTGTGCACATTAGCTTTTGGATTTCTTCAATTGCACTGCTGATTCCATATGCTGTCATCTTCCTAACCTGTAGATGTGATTCCACGTTATTTTCTTTTTCTGTTAAATGCAGCTCAAATTCTGCAGAAGTAAATTAGTAGTGAGTTTGATCCAAAGTCACCTCCAACACTTTTCCTCTGGCTCTATGGCGCAGTGGGAGAAGACGGATTTCATCAGTTAAACGAATGCATTCAGTTGTATTTTCCGGTGAGATGAAGTCTAGGACTACATTGACACATGGCTGCAGTTTAGAGGATATAGAAAACCATTCAGTTAGCAACTATGATAGCGAACCCTTAAACATCCAGGTCCAAAAACTATTACTCGAGAAGTACAATGCTTAAATACAAATTTCAAGAAGCAAAACTCTCAGTAATAATGCAATTTGGTTGAAGATTTCACAATGGAGTAACAGAGACTGTCCTTCAATGAAGTCAAGCAAACATTTTTATAACAAAGGACAACCCTAAATGTAGAATATAGAAGTTTTGTGACAGTTTTGAGCTTAATACTGATATTCAATTTTCGCTACTTCTAGAGAATGTTCTACAGGAGACAACCTTCCATGCTGGTAAAAGCAATTAAATCACAAAGGAATTATGAGCAACCATAAAAGTTTCACACTCAATCATATCTGCAACACTAGACTGAATGGTTTACGTCACCTTTAGTTTTCTAATTTGATATGGACATCCTGCTGGAATCATGATAGCTTCTCCTAGGTGTTGCTCAAAGGTCCATGGCTGAACACCTGGCAACAGTGAAAAGCAGCTCCATGATAAGGAATGTTCCATGTTTGAAGTACCATTAGTACGAATAAGAACTGCCTCGGTTACAATATTTCTTCTTCGTATGGATAGAGAGTAGCTAACGGAGAAGAAACTATGCTTACCAAATTCCTCCTTAAGCTTCATCTTGTGATATGCATCGAGGAAGAAACTTTGATCCAGAATTGGATGAACCACCTGCAATAGACACAAACAACTTAATCAAGATGCTCTTACATCCTCATCTTATTTGAGAAGCTTGAGTCTCAGAATATATTACATGTCCACCATAGCAGTATGCAGAACTTAATTCATCAGAATGCTGTCTGAGGTATTCTAGAAGTTTTGGGACGTCTTGTCTACGGAAAATGTCCCATTGAGCACCAGATGGATTGGCTGTTTGTTTCTCGCAGGAAGAACTTGAGCTCTCGATATCCCTAAAGAAAGTCTCATCATCTGAATCTTCCAATCCTTGAATGTTTCCAGAACAAAGCATTGAGGACTCAGAATCAAATTCAGACTCATTTTCAGAATCAAAGGGTATATTCCCATTTTCAAAGCATGATATTTGTCCTTTAATTGAATTGCCAGTGAAAAGAGGCACTTTCGCAATTCCATTAGGTAAGCTTAACCTTTCTTCCATCATATCTTGCAAGCCTGATTCTTGACTTTCTTCGCTGTGTAAAGATGATTTTCCTTTTACTTCGGTAGAATTACTGCTGGAAGGCAAATGACCTCGATTATTGTTCTTTCTGCTTGATTGCGAATGGTCTTGACCCTTGTACTTCTTCATCAATGTTTGAATATTTTTGAACTGTTCTCTGGTGATTGGAACATCCGTAACACATGCAAGAACATTAACCTGAAATGCAGATAGAGTTAGCTGCAAATAATTTTACAACTTCAGAAGAATCCTAACTTGATATGCAAGCTAGACTGAAAGTTGATGAGTCAAGGAGCAATTATAAGTCATATCTTAATTAGTTTCACATCCTCCTGCCAATTTATTGTGGACTGACCTAGAATTTGTTCTGACGATACCAGTACACAGCTGCAAAATTGAGGGGCACAATCTCATACATCATTTATTTGTTCCCCCCCCTCTCTCTCTCTCTCTCAAAAGATTAGATGAGAAAATTAAATACAAGCACCTCCATATATCAGTAGATGTGTTGCTTTAAATCTTTAATTAACAAAAAGCCTACTGAAACAGGATCTTTTCCTATGGCTATCCACACCAGATATCACATGCAAGTACATGAAGACCACCTTTTATCCAAAACAGTGTATGGTTCCTGGTGACTGTAAACTAAAAGTGACCGTAGAATGTTCAGTCTACTCATTTTACTGCTTAATAAAATAAGAAAACTGAAATTAAGTCTCAAGAGGTCAAACACAAATAGTCAGTAGCAACAGAAAAATCAACAAAAAATTGCAGTGATAGCCAAAACATAGACATCAATCAAGGAAGTAACCAATATTCTGGATTTGAAAGTAATGATGATGCACAAAAGAAGTGCAGGATAACAGAAAAAAATCATGTATCCACGATTTAGCAACAAGTACAGCTGCTATAGCCAAGATATTATTGCAAAAGGTGGGTCGATGTATATGCTTTCGTCTATGTGCACATGCAACAGATGGAGCAATGATGATCTCTTTATTGCAGTTGCAGGACAGCCCTCCTTTAATCCTTTATATGTTCAGACAGAGAGCTAGTAAGGCAGCAAAGCATAAAAAGACATTGTACACATTTCCTTTATCCAAGTGAAATGAACTCTTCCAATAATGAAGTTCAAAGAAGCCCAGATCCTCCTAGTAGAATATTTTCTCAACATATCCACCGTAAGAACAATGTTAATCACACATTGCTTCTTAAACACTATAACAAAGCAATGAAATTTGAGATGGGAAGAATCATATTAGACAAGGCATGCACGAGTATTTCCGCATGTTGTGCAACTACATAACACGGTCGAAATCCACTTTAACATGCACAGCACACTATCAATTGCAATTTATTTTGAACCCCAAGTATTCAGCACCAGGGAATGTTCTGCTTCCAGCAACGACTGCCTTCCGCTGTATCAGCCAATAAGTGCGTGCACTCAAGTATGCTCAGTCACCGAGAGTATATAGAATGAAAGAGAGAAGCAGATGCAAAGGTCATTTCAACTGAAAGAAATTGTATTCATGGGTATTCTAGTGTTTGCAATAATGGTTATTGTTACACTTAATATGCAAATATGGAAGGTCAGTCTGATTTCACAATTAGATAATAAGATGCTTGTAACTGAAGAAAACATGAACATGTAATAAACCAATAAATATTAGGTCACCTTATTGCAACATATCAAAAAGTGACAGAACTGCCATGACAAGTTTTCTTGAGCAGAAAATTATGACATGCACCTACCTAGCTGGTCACAACTTTAAACGACCTGTCAAGCAGTAAGCTCAATTAAAATGCTCCACAAAAGAAAAGAGGTTCCCACAATGAAACCTAATTGCAGCAAGTTAAATTGCATACTCACAAGAATTGTACTGACCGTGAAGGCAAATAAATTCAAATGTAAAAGAACTTTGAACGTGCACAAAAATATTAATTTACCACATCATTTGAGTCAAAGCAGAGTTTTGTCAAAAAATCAGCATTCATGAAGTCCTCCAGACCACCACATGAAATATGAATACAAGGACCAATTTCAGGTTTCGCCGCTTCTTCTGGCAACTTGAGTGCTATATTCAGATGGCCAGAAATTGGATTTAGATACTCCTGAAGCGGTAAAACATGCAAGATCTCAGCATAATGAGAAGGGAATTGCTCTTGAAATACGCTAGAAGAAAGCCAGGCTTTAATTTTCAGGGTCTGATGCTGCACATTTAAATGTGTGCCATCCACCATTGACCCCATGAATATCTGTTTGGCAGAAGTTTCTACCTGGAAAAGAAAATATGACTGAGACAGAGATAGAAAAAGATTCAACTACAAAGATACAGTAACAGAAGAGATTCAACTAGCACCAGAAGAAAGTGGGATGCATGAGACAGACATAAGAAGATCCAAATGCATGCAATAGGTCTTTCTCCTACATAGTTTGACAGAATACTTTGGCAACAAACTTGAACATTTCTCATTTCTACTTGTCCAGCAGCTTGCTTTACAAACATCAAAGCAGCATTAGAAAACCTACCCTTGCAAGCCCAATTTTGCACAGAAACCAGAAGTGGAAAAGACAACGAAAAGAAAAAACAAAGAAATTAGAAGAAAGAACAACAGCAGTCCTCACCTAATAACATAGACAAATGTGATTGTGACATATGCAGTAATTTATGATATGAGGATTGTTTATCCTATGTGAAATGCCTCACTAGATCTAAGGACAATGGCAAATTGTCTAACATACAAAATTGACTTTGCCATGCTGGTAATCAGATCTTATATCTTTTCAAAATCATGCAGCCACAATTTATTTATAATTTATTTGGGCGTCACATAACTAGTTGTTCCACCTGCTGACAATCAATAACATCTTCACAGCATACTTAACTTTCAATGGTAAAACTGAAATGTAAATTATTGTTAAGCTGCAACAACAGTTGTAATGAAGTTCACTAGATGTCTGTTATGTAAAGAGGGAGAAACTCAAACACTGACCTCACACCAGTCCAAGCAAGTAGCTCCATCAATCACTTCCTTCTTATTTTGAGACTTAGAAATTGTTCTTTCAAGGTAAGTGGAGAACATCACAACTGGATCCCAGTTCAGAACTGATGTTCTTCGAATAACATTTCGCACTATAACAGGATGACCTTTAGCCCAGTGCAGCTGGAAATGTCCAAGTTTCTCTTTGTTTAAATCACTTAAAGTGGGATAATAGATGAAATTATCATTGGATTCTACTCTCTTAGCCAACTTTTGCAGTGGCTGAATTTCAACTTTGTCCTCAGTTCCCTTGCACAATGAGTCACAAGAACACACAACTGCAGTTTCTGGAAAGTCATGGCACTGAAGCACCTCTTCTGCTCCTGCTTCCAGCTCTTTCATCCACCTTAAGGGAAAAATGCATCTTAAATCAAGGTTTCTCTCACCACATCCACCAAAATCCACTGGAGGACAAAATACGCTACCATCAGAACAAGCTTTCAAGCTCTTCAGTGACATCGGAGACAAAAGGGGCGCCTTGCAAGAACTTATGCAAGAAGTGCTAATGTGATTTATCTTCAATCGCAGCTCACCAGCAGACCGATGAATTTCCCTACCATTGCAACCTTTGGAACAAAATTTCTCATATAAATTTCCTCGACAAAATTCCCAGCAACAACTTAAGCAGAGATTATACGAGCAGTTCGCACAGCTTCTATGGTAATCCACAATTGAAGTTCTGCAATTGTTGCTGATCCAGGATTGAAAACACCACATAAAAAACACGCAGCAGGACAGTTGTATACATTCTTCAACAGCATTAAAACATTTCAGCATTTCAGAACTCACCAGCGACATAACTTCTTGTTTCCCATCTCTGACTGCTGAATCTGGATATTGGATGGTACTTCTCCTGTTACACGTGAAACTTGAAACAGGGTGCTCGATGCCTCAATTACAACTTGATTTCTACCAATTACTGTATGTACCTGTAATCATGGCCTCCATCTCAAGCTCCATGTTCTGTTCTCGGTTAATTTGTTTGAGAACAGGAAGAAGCAAGGAAATGAGATAATGAAGTAGTTGGATTTTCGCAATTTTCCTTTTATCCCTATAAAACTCCTGCAAATAGATTGCAGAAAGGTAGAAGCTTGAGTAGTCAAAAAGTACATATATGGATGTGCTAATTCATACTTTAAAATCTCATATACCAAACCTTATGACTCATTTCCTTCGATCGACGTTTTAGGCAGATCATACAGCTACAAGTTTCACGACAAACAGGGCACGCCACCTTAATCTCTTTCTTCTCCAAGTATCTGATCACAGTCAGATGCCATAGCTTTCAGTTTGGCTCCGGTTTTAATTAGAAACATGTAGACTAATTTAAGAATGAAAAATGTACACCATTTAATGTGAGAAATAAAATCCAGACCAGCATTACCTGTCCGGTTCAAATGTGATTATTACACAGCTGTTCAAATCTAGAATAATACACATTCTCATGTATGCTTCTGGAACAGAATATATTGCAACTCTAAAAGAATGACACAGTTTAACCATCAGCAAACTTCTCACTAGACCAGACATCAGTTACTCTTTCTGTCAGAAACAGAAGTCCATTTCTAACCACACAGTTCCAATTTTGAAAACTAAAACTATTAATTGCTCCATATTTCTTTTTCCTAAATGCTGTTTACAATTGAGATTGAGTTAACAATAAAAAATGTAGGGACCAAACAGCCCCTCATCTTATTGTGAATTTGTTAGTTTAGCGATCATCGCATACTTGGGAAAGAGAACCCAGACAGGTTTAGATTTAGGATAAACAAGGTTCTAATTCTTTTAATATACTGGTTCGTAATATCTAAATCTGATCACCTTCTTACACTCTATCCAATTATTCGTCCATTTTAATCCTAGCAAATCTACCAATTAAACATTACTTGCATCCAAATAGACACTTTTTTTTTTTTGAATGGGCTATAATTTTTGCATTTTCTAAAGTAGCTTAACCAGTTAAATAAGGTAATCCATTAATTACACATCCAACTCCAAGTCACTCTGACTTTTGTCCATAGAACTTCTATTTCAAGAACATGCATGCTGATCAACAAAAATGCAAGAGAAAACAAAATAACAATTACGTAAATATATCAACATAAACAACTGCAGTATGCAAATAAGGCAAGAGAGAAAATAAGTACCTTTCCTTAACACAATCCCAACAAAAGAGTTGCTTCCTACATTTCAAACACTTGATCAAATTACAACCAATACTCCTCCTACACCAATGGCATTTCTTCACTCTCCTCAAATCATTCACAGATGGTACAACCTTTTTCCACGGAGCCAAAAAGTTCCACAAGAAAATCAATAGCCATAAAAGAAGAATAAAAGTACACCAATTCAACTGAAAATGAACCAAAAACAAATGACTAAACAAGATAAGCGATTTAAGATCCTGAATGTCAACTGCAACAACCTGCATTGTACTCAATGGTACGGGTTCAATATTCTTGGACCGAAAACTCCTCTGTGTGTTCCATCCCGAGCACGAATTTTCTCCAATTTTCACATCAACAGCATCATGGCCACCAGCATTGTCGGAATTCTTCTGCGAAATCGCCATTATGCCATTTGGCAACTCGCGAGTCAACTCAGTCTCCCCACTCCACTCATTCTCCTTCTCCTCCTCCTCCTCATTCTTCTTCTTCAACCTTTTCTTCTCTACTTGCCTCTTCAAGAACTCCCTGATCAACTCCAAATGCAAATCACCTCTCTTCAATTTCATCCTCCTCAACGCCTCATCCAAAACCTCAGAAACGCACCGTTTCTTCTGCTTCTTCTTCACGGCAGCCGCCAACGCCATTTTCACTATCCTCCTGGACGATGATCTTGACGAACAAGCCCTGATTTTCTCCCCATCTTTCTTACTAATTTTCTTGCTTTTCCTCTCCAATTTCAGCGACTCCGGAACTTTCTGCTTCAGCTGCCTTCTCCGGCCCTGGAGATAGTGAATATGACAGAGCTTTTTCCCTTCTACTACTTTCCGAGTACACCTCCATTGCCGACCGTCCGTTCTCCGGCACCGGATTTCGTCCGGCGGAATATCCTCCTTTTTAGCCATTCACAGAAAAAAAAAAAGCAGAGCTTTCACAGAATTAGGGTTTTAGGTGGATTCTGTGGTTATCAGTGCGTGAAGTGCGTGTGGTAGTGGTAATTAACTAATTAATAGCGGGGCGAAGTGACGAAGAGAGAGTCCTGCGGTGGGTTGGAGACTGTTTGGGAAAAAACTTTTTCAGAGGTGGGAATCTAAGGGGGACTCGGCTCTGGACTCTGGACACTGGACTCTGCTGCCACCAATCAATTAATTGGACTGTCAATCTTTATTATTCTCATCATTTTATCCGTATTTTTCTACACCAGCTTTATCCTCCTGTATCTTTAATCTGGTATACAAGCATGAGTGGGGGCCATTGTGGGAGTTTTTAATACGACATTTTCTTGGAAATGTCATGTGTCATTTTGTGTCTGTTGAATTTTGATCCTTATCAGACAATGAATGCAGTACAGTGATTGAGAGAGGATATTCAAGATTGTGATTGACACTAATTTTTTTGGCTGATGATCAATTTGGGTTTTTGGAGTTGTTTTGATGATTGGTGGTGGAATTGTTGGATGATCAAAAGAGGGATGATGGCTGATGATATGTGAAGGGTGAGTCTGGCCAGTAGTTCAAGAATTGGAAACAGATATGACATCTTGAAAAGTGGCAAAGAATGTGGTTCTCTTTTTTCAATAAGAGTTCCTGTTTTCTAGGCATAGCTTGGTTTTTGTCAAAAAGATGGATATTGTTTCTGAGAGTGGAAATCTGTTGAGAAAATTGGGGGCTTTTCTTTTCTGAAGGGAGGGAAGATTTCTAAGTCCTTTCAAATTGGCAGGTTTCTCAGTCATGATTTTCAGGATCAGATGAGGGAACTGCACAGAAGCTAGTAGATTGCTAGTAGCATGTCTGCTGCATTTTGCAGTAATTGTGCAAAGGTAGTAGATTGCTAGTAGTAGTTGGCTGGATTTTGCAGCAATTGTGCATTTTGGGCTGTGGCCAGTCTGCAAGATTTCGAAATGTCACTTACTATACGTGTCTGATAATGTGTATTTTGCTGTCAAATTTGCATGGTTGGTACTCTGCATTATGACGCATGATGCTCATTATCAACATGATATGTAGTCTTCTGGACCATGACATGCGCCCAATGGATAAACAATTAATTAGCCTAATTTTTTGCCTCTGTTACATTCGATCAGCTTCCAATTTTAATGTCTAGGCAGGAGTCTGTCTATCGCAAAAGCCAAATAAGCCTCTGGTACTCGTAATGGCTTGCCAATGCAAGACACAGTAGTATTTACAGGGAGGGCCTCACGCATGCAAAAAAAATGGATATTTCTGCTGAATGCTCTGAAATTAAAAAGGGAAGAAGCATAGAGTATATGAAAGATGGTCGATTTTAGGATTTCGTAGTTCTTTTCATGATTGATGGTGAAAAGCTTGGATTTGATCGAAAAAGGGATGATGAAATGTGGGAGCAACTTTGAAAAGTAGTTGGTGAAAATAGGAAAAAAACAGGATTTTGAGGTAAATGATTGTGTTTAGACAAGCATTCCTTGCTCGGAGTTTACTAGGAGGCATATCATATCAGTTCTATTTCTGAAAAGGTGATTTAGGTTCTTGAAGATGGATTGGATGGTAATTCGAAGGTGGCGTTGCACCTGTGAAAGTAGAAAAAAATACTACTACTACTACTTGTCAAATATGGTGAAGTGTCAGTTGATTACTGAATCATGATTTTCGTTGCAAAGATCAGAAAGAAACTGCCCAAGAACTAGCAAATATATTGCTGGTAGAAATAGTTAGCTTGGCCGCAGTTTTGCAGTAAATTAGTGCCATCGGATGGGGAAAATTAGAAGTATACATCAGAATCATCAATGTCCAATACACTATTTCGCTTCAAATTGCATTTTGAGCTGGAGCAGTATCTTTTTTTCTTTTTTTCTTTTTTTTAATTTTAAAAAGAGGCCTCTTGTGGGTGGGTACCGAGCTGTCTGTTATACTATTCAGTAATTTAGTGCCTCTTTGGTTTTCAATTGCAAAACTATTCAGCAGGTATACATGAATCTTCAAGCATGCGGATGTAAAGTCCTAGCTGAAACTACTGATGTGATGAGATCCCATTTGGCAGCACAGGCTTTTTGATGCAAATCCCATTTGGCTTTTGAATTGTCACGGACCCTGAAACCTAAATACACAACCTGATTGTGCAAGAGATTGGAGTCAGATCAAAATTATAAGTAGCACTAGAAGAATGATTCAAATTTTACAGGAGAAATGGTCCAAGCTGTGCCCCTACATTATGCTTTTATATAACTGATCCTCTTGCCTTCTTGTCTGAAATCAGCATTGGCCAAGCTGGCTTGGTTACTGAGGAAACCGGCCAGTAACTAGGCCAAGCTGGTTTGATGACCAGGTGCGTGTCTGAGATTACAAAAACACTTCCATTTAAGCTTTTGATTCTAACAATGTCAGTAAAAGATTTGCCAGCGATATGATGGACTATATCATCAGTACTAAACAGATCAATTACTCCACCAGTTAAATTGATCATGTACTGAATATTGAATAAAGGAACAGATACAATTGAACAATCCATTCCATCCATCCATGCATGCACGAGTATTGACTATCAGGATCTTCTAGTCTTGACTATATACCCCACCCACCTGATGCCTCTTTTCCTTCTCAACTCCAGTGATAATTCATCAAATATATACATACATATTTGAATTTCTTCACATGCATGCATAAATGCCCCGAAACTACAAACGGGGGTTGCCATGAACAGGTTTACACATGCAAATTTCCGTCTGGCTAACCCTAGGCCTGCATGAAGATTCAAATCCGATCACCTATATATTGTACTAGAGACAAAAAATTATGCTAGCCAATCTTCTTCTTTTTTTTTTTTTTTGTGTTTCCCTTTTAAGGCTAATTAATCTTGTAAATGCAAGAAGGACAATCCGAATTATGAGCCAAAAAAAAAAAAGAAGAAGATGCCTGGATGATAAATTAGAATTCAGAATTTTATGTGTATAGTAGATGCTCGGGTTCATTCTACTTGCTTTTATATATCCCGTGTATCAAGATAAGTTGTACTACTATGTTTTGCTTACTGATCATCATCATCAGCTGAAATCTACGAGGGGAAAACAAAATGGACAAAAGGCAAAAGATAGGTTGAAAACTTGCAGTTATATAACCAGACAGACAAGTGTTCCACCCACAAAAAAAAACGTAAAAGCAAGCTTCGACAGCTTCAGTAGGATCGTGGATGTTTTAAAGCTGGTTGCATGACGAGGTTAATATATGTATCTGAGATGACAAACTGAATCGACAGAAAAATCCATTCTTTAATTTCTTTCATCTCTTGTGTCAGCAATTTTCCAGTGTCGCGCTATTTATGAAAAACTAGGTCCAAATTACCGAAAAATGGACCCAAAAAAGCAATAATATCACATTAAATTAAACAAAGTAAAACCCAATATAAAAAAATGTTCAATGTTCGAAATCCGTGGCATATATATATATATATATATATATATATATATATATATATATATAGCATGGCCATCTTTGTAGGACATCTTGTTCCCATTATAGAGTACTACACGGAAACCAGCACCATTGCTAACCTACTATTATATATGTGATGAGCTGTTGAAGCTTGCGTTATAGCAAACACCTGCAGATTGCAACAGAAAAATTCCTGAGGATGGAACAAATTAAATTGGTCCCCGAGGAAGCAAGCATTATTTATATGCAGTAAATTTAAAAAAAAAAAAAAGAAAAAGAAAAGAAGGTATGCGTACGTGAGGCTCGTTATCGATCTGTACAGTGACTGTCATATTGGATATTTAGCCGTAGAATATATAATAAATATCAAGAAAACAATCACTAGAATATAACAGTTCTGAAATAAAAACGAGCATTATTTCCTCCAGTACGTTCCTTCAAAGCATGAAAGGGTAGCATCAACTATACAGGGATTATATTCTCTAGTAATTACTTTCTTATGCCAGATTTGAGAAAATTGTAGTATACAACTATTATAGACTGAGGCAAGGAAACCAGAAACCCTTACGACCGATGGATGCTCATATGGAGGGTCTATTAATTGCGAAATGAATACTACACGGGAAAGACTCTGAGTAAAGGCCTAAAGGGACCCCGGAAACTGGAAAGTACAGGATAACATCGAGGTCGATGACCAAGAAACCCTAACAGTCTATCAATGATGGAGCCAGGGGGCTTTGAAAATTTTAATTCATAATATGTAAATATGTGTGTAAAATAAAATTGGCCCCCCCTAAATTTTTACAATTTTAGTTTATATTATCAGAGTTGATATATATATATATATATATATATATATATATATATGAATTAGTCATCTTTGAATTAATTTTTTTCTTCAAAAAAAGTTATTTATTTTTATTGTACTAATTATTCAAAAATTAAACATATCATTTGATGTTCCACAGTAAATTGACCCAATGTGATGTATTAGAATAAAAAGACCCAATTTATAATTGTTAAAAGCAAGAACTAGTACGTCTAAGAATAGAACTTCAACATTTTGAGCTTGACAATCCAAATCATCCAGAATTGCAAGAATTATCTGGTATTCATGAGTTATGTCAAGATTTGGTGAAAACAAGAAAATCAGTGATATATCCTCTTATTGACATATTGATTAGACTTGTTATTACTCTTCCTATATCAACTGCAACTACATAGCGGGCATTTTCAATTATGAAAATAATCAAAACAAAACTCCGAAACAAGATGGAAGATAATTTCTTGAATGATTGTCTAATTGTGTATATAGAAAATGAAGTTGCTGAAAAATTTAGCAGTTATTCAATCATAGATGAATTTAATTCTATGAAAGAGCGTAGAGCTCAATTTACTTCTAAAAAAAGATGTTGAAATTACAAATTATGTTAACATAACTTTTATCTTTTTTCAATTGAAAATAGTTACATTTATATTACATAGTTATATATATATATATATATTGCATAGGTGACATATTGGAGAGCATCTTCTCATAATGTGCAAATTGGATGGTTTGTAATGTTATAAGATATTTAATCAAAAGTTATCTTTTTTGTTAATTTTTGTTATGACTATACCGCATATTTATGAATGGACATACCTTTATAATTAAATTTAATATTTGATATTTTTAGATGTCATATATTTAAATAGAAGAAAATTATTTTGAACATAATATATTAAAATAATTTTATTAGAAAAAAATTTTGGCCCCCCTCCTAAAAAAATCTCGGCTCCGTCACTGCATGCATGTGTGTGTATGTATGCATGCATGTATGTGTATATATATATATATATATATATATATATATATATATATAGACACAGAAAGAAATACTCTATCATAAGCACAAATGTAAATTGAAGAGACATCCCTAAGCACAATTGTAAACTCACGTTTATTCCAT